ATCATTTAAAGATGTCTGAGCCACAGTCACCACAGAAAGAATCAGAGGTCAAGTTCTCTATTCTTACTGAGAATGATGTTTTAAAAACCATTTTAAAACCATTACAAAGTAAAGTGGCATTGAAAATTCACATTTTCAAAGGTGTACTTTGATATTAGGTGGTAATATTTAAATTGGATTATAATTTTGGTAAAATATAGTTGCCTGATGTTTCTTCACCAGAATTTTACTCCTGGCGGAGATGGCTTTAAAATATCATTTAGATCCTTTTGTAGGGAAATTAAATGTAAATTGTTCAGGAGAGGAGTTGCAGCAAAGGAAACTTTGTTTGTCTGAACCTAAGTAATTGTGAGTAAGTGATTTTCTTTTCTTGCAAGCTGTGGTTTAGTTCTTTTTTTTTTTTTTATAGGTCCTATAGACATATTTAGTGGAGTACACATTCTTGAATATGCATCATTGAAGAATATGCCAGTGGCTCAGAAGCACCATGTAGACATACTACACACAAGTTTAATGACCAGTTTTAGAGGATACTTAGTTTGAATTTTCCATACATACTTTTGATGCAAATTTTACCAAACATTTGATCAATTCTGACGACAGTGAGAGGATTTTCAGTGATGTTAAAGCTCTTCCAGCATCTGAGCTGCAGCTAGTTTGAAAATAAAATCTCACTGAGTGACAGCAACATTTGAACTAGGTCAACGAGCTGCTTCCCACTTCATGAACATTTCCTTTAGCTCCCCCATTTCAAAATATATTCATGTAGTTGTTTCATTAGCTCACTTACAACAGATCCACTCGTCCACAGGAGGGAGCCTGCAGCCCAGGTTGTCAAAATCCCAAATCCTAACCTCTCAATCAGTTCCAGCAGTTTGCAGCCAATAGAATGAGTCAGAATATCAGGCCACCATTTTGCTTTTTTACTTCTATTATAACACAGCTCTTCCTTTGATAACAAATGATGGACATAATGACCTGTGATGCACTGGATTTTTGCACGTGTGGGTGGGTGTGGGAGGCTGGAAGTGCTATGAGTTGGAGAGTGACCCAGATGAGTGCAGAGAAGCTGACATGAAACAAAACATCCTCTGCATTTCAATTTGGGATGTTGAATTCTATGCTGAAAAATACAATTCACCTCCAGTCTCTGAAGTGACATTCAGGGGAAAAGCCACCGAGCTGAAATGGATGCGATGTGTATGTCTCAGTGATTCCAGGTCACCATGACGACTGTAACATGGCAACAGTCACTCCATATACAATAATTTGCTCGTCCTTCCCCTCTCCTCTTATTGCTATGCCGAGCTCTGTTCTTCCAATTTTTCTCTCCTCCACCGGCCCTTCATTGTTTTCCTCCCCACCGTCCCCATAGAAACCACAATAGCTGAGACTCCACAAACACAATGTGAATCATCAGCAAAGTCTGTCTCACTAATGAGTTCTGAATTTGTGTGGTCATGACTTTATCCTGAGCTTAAAACAGTAGTTAAATGTGATTAAATGTGACAACTGGTTTATTAATAAACAGAGGTCAAGGGTAACATGCAGTGAGTTTGTCAGGACTCAAAAAAGCAATTTATTTAAAGAGATGAGGGTGGCAGTTAACTATCACGACCACAGTGTATTTACATGTGCTCTACAACAGTATTATAATATTCTCGTCTTTGTTGATAGTGTACAAAACTGCTGTAGATAAACATCATCACTAACATCACTCTCGCTGTTGTCTACTGCTGGATGCACATGATGATCACTCACAACAGTGTCCTGCCATCGCTCTGGCTCCTGCAAACTCACCCCTCCTCTGCTACTCACATCCTCATCTCTCATCCTCTAACTGCTGTGTCACTCCATCCTCTCTTTTGTTGGTGTTCTACCTCCAGCTATTCTCTGTCAACAATCGAACCATCAGCCTCGCCCAATCACAGCGCCCCCAGGTCGTGGCATGAGCGGGACTTCTGCCTCAAGAACTTGCCTGCCTCTCGCTCGCGCGGGTACCGAGGCACCAGGCTGGACAGGAAGCGTTTGGCACGGGAGGTGATGCTCTCGCGTTGGCCTCCTCCGCTCAAGTCCTCCGCGGTCATCCCCGGGGGCCATGGGGATTGGCCCCTGGCTAGCCGCACCGCACACTCCAGGAGCTCTAGGGTGCGGTGGTCCAGAGAGGCGGAGATCTCCAAGAAGAGGCAGTTGAAGAGGGTGGCGCTGGAAATGGCCTCTGAGGAAAAGGATGGAGAGGAGAGGGGACAGTGTTATCTGCATTAAGCATCCAGTACAAATTATACTTCTCTTCTTCCACCGTTATACTCAATCCAACATGTGAAACATGTTAACCAAGCTGTGAATGTGGTGAAAAAACAACAAGAGGTCTATGATCACAGTTTTGGCCCTTTTCCATCCTGGCTTTCAAATGAGTTTTTTCAGCATTTTCGCCTATAGCTGACAGTAGACAACAAATGAAGAGAGATAGAGGACGGTATAACATGCTACAATGATTTCCAGATGTATAAAACCCAGGACGTCACCTGTTATGTGAGCTTTAAACAGGGCTTGGTCGACCCCTTTACAGGCCTGTGTTCTTTCATCAGAGAGGGTGTTGAAGAGCTCTCTGTATACGAGGCTAACGTCAGGCAGGGTCCCTTTGATCAATTGTGCAAATTGCACTTGCAAGCGATTACGAGGAGCTTATAAAGAAATTTATAGTTTAATGAGGGCAGATGGTTTGGGTTTTTAAGACTTGCAGGAGGGCTGAAACTGAGCAGAAAAAGATAAACAAATCTAGAGGTGCTGCAGAATGCTCTGTGTGTGTGTTTGTGTGTGTGTGTGTGTGTACCATTGTAAGGTCATGAGGAGAGTTTTTTTCACAACAAGCAATTTTGAGAAACAAAGAAGACTTTTAGAGGGTGTAATAACCTGCTGGAGTGACTTTCTCACCTTCTTTAATAATAAGCACATGTAGGAGCTGCATAAACACAGAGTATCAATGGGGTCAATGTTGTAGTTAAGCCTCTGTCAAAGATTATTGTCTTCCATGTTGGTTTGTTTGTTTATGAGTAATATTATATGAAACTAAATTGGTTGAAAAAACTGAAAAACTGATAAACTAAAATCTGGTAGAAGAATGCAGTATGGGTCAGGCTAGATTACATAAAATCTTGGTCCAGATCCAGGATTTATTTTTCGCTTTCTTTAATATTGTGCAGTAGGGCCTTTTTTGACATTTTCATTGAGATCCCTGGGAGTGTTTCATGGATTTTATTATAAAAAATCCATTAAGCACATTAAGGGAACCGGTATCCATGAGTGTGTGCTTTCTGGTGCAGATTGATTGGATTTTAGCAGACTGTTGGGCCTTGGTGGAGGTGGAGGTGTGTGTGTGTGTGTGTGTGTGTGTGTGTGTGTTTGTGTGTTCTTTGTATGGTTCCAGGGGCTTTGAGTTGGGAGGTGTACCATATACAGTACATGTAGTAATATTACACGGCTCGGCAGCCTGTGTGTTTTAAAGCTGCATTAATGTGAAGAGGCAGTTCATTTCCAGTCAATGCTCTCTCGCTTTAAATGTGATTGTGGCTCCCCTTATACTCCCACACTGCAACTGAGCTGATACACTGACATTTACATTTTCACATATCTCACCACACGTTAGTGTTTGCTGACACAGACATAGAGCCGAAAATGTCAACACTGACTGTGGAGACCAACGCCACAACTGAAGGAAAAGAATTTGATAGATGAGGATGGGGGGGGGGGGCAAAGCAGAAGGCTTGTCTTACCTTGAGAGGCGACCTCACGTGTGCGTACGAGGTCACTCTTATTACCAACGAGGATGATGGGAGTTTGGGGCTGAGTCTCTCTCAAAAGAAGTCGGAGTTGGGCGGTGCGGTGGAAGCTGCGCCTGTCAGTCACCGAAAACACCAGGACACACACCTCACACTGCAGCGCCGACAGGTCCTGAGGGGCAGACAGAGGTAAAGGCACTGTGTAATACAGTAATGTAGGTGGCATTTATATATACTGTGAGGAAAGTCAAAAGTGCCTATATATGCATTTATATGTACAGGTCTATTTTAGTATCTCATACATAGTGCACTAATAAAGTACACATCCCTTTACTCAAGAATGTTTCTCTTCAAATCTTTTTATTTTATGATATTTTCAGACATGGGATCAATAAAGTTTATCTTATGGTATTGTATGGTGTCATATCGTAGTGGAGCTTAACTCTGACGTGTTTCCTTGTCTACATCATTTTGCCACTCTGCTGATCGAGTAACACACACACGCACGCACACACACACACACACTAATCCTCTCCAAATAGCAAAGAGGCAGAAATCTCTAAAAATAAATTGCCCCTGAGTGAATCCTTCATAGAAAACAGATCACATCACTTCCTGTCTTTCTGAGCAGCCATGGTCCATTGACTTTTCATTTAATTTTGATTCAGTTTAGAATTGAGTCAGACCCAAAGGCAACTTCCTCACCGGACAAACCTCACAGTGTTTCAGATCATCAATAATCATTATATAAACGTCAGAGAATCCCCACATTAGAATCAACTGTGTACCTAAAATAAAAACATGAATACAGTCACTTGGCACATCTGCTCTGTGGGCAGCTTTCTTTCTCTCTCTCTGTTTTTCTCTCTCTCTCTCTCCCCCTCACTCACATCCCTGCACAGATGCCTCTGAACTGCACTCGAGGGAAAAGAAGAAAAAAGTGTGCAAAACAACCTGATAATGAGCTTTTCCTCAGACAACCACTTGCAGATGCAGCAGATTTATTGTCCTCCTTTCGCCACAGCAGTTCTCGGAGCTCAAGGCAACTATTTCTACAGTTATATATTGCCGTCAAGTTCAATAAGCAAAGACATGTGCTCTGGACAAATAATATGAACAGCTCTCATATGCTGCATTGTGTATTACAGTTCCCTTAAAGTTTCCCTTTTAGGCTAATTCTGGTTGTATATGCAAATTGTCTTAGCAATCTGTCCACGAGACGCACAGGGCACCATAGGATATGGAGATGGATGTATGCAGGTGCAAAGAGTGCTCAGTGGCCTAATGAGGGAGCAGAGAACAGGGATCATGGGAACAGTGAAGTATTGTTGGGCTCACCTGTCTCCAGTTGTCAAAGATAATGATGCTGCTCTCCTCATCATCCACTGTGACTGTGCGCATGTATCCCTCCCCTAGGGACAGGGAGAGCAGCTAGGTTAGGTCTCAGATGGGAGATGGGTGCTGGGGTTTGTTTACCTGCTGCTCACTGTGAAAGGCAACGCTACTGCAGGCGGCCTTTCCTACTTCAAACAAAGAGCTTTGTACCATCAGAATCCACAGATGCCGTCCTGTCCATGTCGCCGGCGAGGGCGAGGGCCAGAGAAGACTTCCCCACGCCGTTCTGCCCCAGCAGGGCGATCCTTAGAGGCCCATCAGGTCTGCCCTCCACCGCCACGGTTGGAGTGTCGTCCAAGGCTGGACTGAAGCGGATCGGTGATGCAGAGGACCCAGCAGCACTTGATGTCCAGTCGCCGTCATCATGCACAGCTTCTTCTCGTCTGAGCTGGTGCTTAATTGGCAGAGGAGTGCTTCCTCTGCGAACTGTCGGTGTGCTGGACAGAGTCATACTGTCACACTGAGGGACAGATCGAGGGACACTGTGATGCATCACATAATGCCAAGAGACAGAACCCAGATATGGTACAACAGATAATAACTCACTGTTACTACTGTACTTCCATAACACAGGAGGATTATAGCAAGCAGAGCAGAGGCTGAGATAGTGTGACATTTACAAGTCAAGGTTGAAAAACATTATCTCATACAATTCCCATAATACAATTAAATAAATGCTCAAATTTTTCAAACTTCATGTCTCAAATGGATGGATGCTGGATGGATAGATGGAAAGATACATGGAAAGATAGATTATCTATCTATAAAATATTCTAAACATGCTGAAAGTTTGTTTCACTTCAGCTCTGTTTTGGTCTCGACCAGCACCTTAGGCAAATTGCTATCTGGTCCTTTCACTGCTCAATATGCTGCTAACTCTGTTAGGCTGCTGTTTGGTGTGGGGTAGGAAAAGGTCAGTTTCCAGGAAGCTCAGAGACATTTTTTGGGATGTAACAGAAAAAACTACTGATTGTGAGAGTAAACCGAAATAATAAAGTTGCAGTTCAGAAAAACTCCAACAATGAGGTGGAAGATGCTAAAAAGCCATGGTGAAAGAAATAGAAAGTGGGTCTGCTGATATTACACACACACACACACACACACACACACACACACACACACTCACACACAAACACACGCACAAACAATAAACCCATCCATTAAGCTGACACTTTAAATACAAAACATTGTAATGTTCGCACTTTGCCCCTAACTCTGATTGGCTGCTTTAATTCTAGATTTTAGGGGCTGTGTGCCCAGACCTCCGTGCAGCCCCGTGCAGCCCACCTACCGTGGTCGCCTTCTCCTCATTGCTGAGTCTGTCTTCGGGCACATCTGTCTGCATCTGCAAACTGATATGAAGCGATCGGGGATAAAGACTCCAAAAGAAAACTGAACACTCCCCCTTCTCCCCCTCGTTCGCCTCAACCGAACCTCACCCACTTCATGAACCCAGCTCAGCAGCAAGTATGATCTCTCACCTGTCTGGCGGCTCCCGTACAAAGTAAGCACGGTCTCTCTCTCCCTCTTTCTCTCTCCCTTCCTCTCTCTCTCCTGCTGCACTCTCTCTCTCTCTCCGTCGTGTCTCCTTCTCTCTCTCCCTCGCTCTCTCTCTCTCTCTCTCTCTCTCGCTCTTTAATACATTTAGTTTAATTTAATTTAATTAAATTTTTGCATGAATTTGTGTAATTTTACATGAAAAGTGCAGTTAACGAGATTGTGTAATAATAATAATAATAATTACTATTATAATTATAGCGCTTTTAACAATGATCAAAGACACTTTGCATAGGTTTTAAAAATCCTATCAGACATAAAGGTTTGTTTGTAATCTCTCTCTCCTCTCTCTCTCTCTCTCTCTCTCTCTCAGGCTCTACAAACTGACACTCACTGTGGTGTAGGAGGTAGGAGGCAGGATTCAGGAGATAGGAGGCAGGAGGTAGGATTCAGGAGGTAGGGAGCAGTAGGTCATAATAAAATGATGCTCTGAGCCACGAAGCTCTCATTGACCTGTGATAGATGGCAGCGATATAGAAACTGGCCACTAGGAGGAAGTACAACGCAAGTCTTCTCCAAATGTGGCTCTATTACTATGAGTGTGTGTGTGTGTGTGTGTGTGTGTGTGTCCTTGGGGAAACACAACTTGTTTAAAACGTGTTATTTGGGAATTCCTCTAGTAAAAACTGTTTTAATACAATTATCCTATCGACCTGCTCGCCCAGTGCTTCAGTCTGTCGCCTCTCTCCTTTTGTGTCTCATCAAAGACACATGTGACCTTTTCCTGGACTGACCCATTTTACCTTTTTTATCAAATAAAACCATATAGTCCCACATCCAAGGAGTGTATATGTGCATGTTTTCTATCAGAATACGAGTGTGGCCGTGAGCGGTGGTGCGTCCCTCCCACACAAAGCCACAATAGGCTCCGGCAGTGAGCAGCCAGGACGCTATTATAGCCCTAATCCTGCTCCTATTGTACAGGCCAGAGAGAGAGAGAGCGAGAGACAGAGAGAGAGAGAGGTAGAGCCGAAGATGAGGTCATCCCAAACAGTGCAACACCCAGGGTCACTGCCTCACTATAGAGGGATGGAGATAAAGAGAGGGATGGAGCAGGGGATGGGGCTGCAGGGTGAGCTGCACAGAATAGGCCTGTACAAGGCTGCGGTTGGGAGATGCTCAGATAGGTGAATGGAGAGGAGGTGACCTGTGTGAAGAGTGCACAAAACACAATACAGCACGCCAGGGATGGTAAAGTACTTTGTTTATTTCATATGCATATGAAACCACACTACAACAGGAGCAGGAAACCACGATAATGGCTGTCATGTTTTGGTAATAATGTTAATTCTAATCACAATTGGATAAGGTAATAAACTGTAGGAAAGTAAAAATACACACTAATGGAATAAAACCGGTAAAATAATTAGAGTCAATACATAAATAAACAATAAATACTGAATAAATAAGTGAATAAATAAAAATAACAATTTATTTAACCTACACCCAAAATAAATAAATCTAACGCAATGATTCCATGGGAGAGTTTTTTTTCTCCATGAAAAAATATATTTTTGCTTTTTTTCCCCCTGCGCCATTGGTTTTGAGTTGCATCTGGAGTAGAACCACAGTACCTGAGTGCACAGTGACCAGCTCTGTGGTGCCACATGTCGCATTAAAATGGTGATCGTCCCTGTTACAGAGGTGTTCAATGTGCCTAGAAGAACTGGACACAACCACACAAATCATGCCACACTCTTGGGATTGGGTGTCTTTGTCCTTTCCACCACATGCAGCCGCTTCATTAATTACAACCAGCTCCACTTCGTCATATGTAAAAAAAAAATCAGCTTCGAGAGCAAACAGCGAGTCTTCTCTGTTTGTGTTAATGGCTGAAAGTCACCATTTCCAACTAGATTTATTTGCTAAAAAAAAAAAAACAAGAGCAGTATCCCCACTATTCGTTTAGCACAATCACTGGAAGGTCCCCATGAGAGGTATCCTTGTACATTCTTTTATCTATGATTATTCACTTTACAAAGAATAACAAGTCTTGGTGAGCTTCAACACTTTGGTAGGCAACTGTGAAACATTAGCTGGTAAATACTTAACTGCATGCTGTGGATACTTCATCCAAGCCCATATCACTCCACATCCAGCACCACTGCACTACTCAGACCTCTGCAGCTTTATAGCAGCTTATTATATAAAAATAAAAACAAAACTACGATATGAGCCTCAAACACTCATTTGGAGAGTACATTGCAGCTATGTCACATTGCATAGATAATATGGGATTGATACGATTGTAATTTGATTCCATCAGTGGTATTTGTCCACTGTTGTGCTGGTGTCACAGGCAGAAGATCTCAATGAGCTCTCAGCCAGTGTTTGTGCAACTATTCACAGTTTAGTCAACAGCCTAGAGTCTCGCTCTATGATTCCCCTTCATTCAAGGGTGGGTTTCACAGTTGTGTCGCCCCGAAACTGAATGTCTCTCTCACCATCCCTGCTGTACACACACATGCACACACATGCACACGCACGCAAACATGCACACTCACACATAAACGCATACTTCTTTGCTTCTCTGAGTCTGATCCCTCATCACTGGTCGCTCCATGTTGGCTGAGCTTGTTTTTCCTCTATGTTCTCTTCTGAGGGTATAAACTCAGAGGAAGTAGTCGGGGGGTGGGGAAGCGGGTGGGTTGCTGGGGCGGGTCGGTGGGGCCTCGCCGCCGGCGCCGTGGTTCGTGCTGAGGAGCTTCTCGTAGCGGGCCTTGTAGGCGTCTCTCTCCCTCAGCACTCGAGTCAGCTCACACTGCAGCTGATCCAACTGAGGAGAGGGAGGTGGAGAGAAGACGATCATTTCTCTGTTCTTTACTGAGATGTTGACTCATTTTTCATAGTAAATTGTGTCAGGGATGTAAATTTAAGAACTGAGGCCCCACAGAGTACCAGACAGAGGATTTGACCCATTTTGAGGCCTTTTCAGGGTCAAGGTGTCCATAATAAAGCTTGATATCAGATTGAGGTTCAAATTTAGGGTCAGATAAGTCCTGGATGTGCATATACTGAGAGATCATATAGGTGAGACTCGTACATACAGACGTGTGTGTGTACCTGTTGTGTGAGCACATGTTTCTCTGACTCCAGAGCGTGGCGGTGCTGTAGGCGCTTGTAGCGGCAGGACTGGGCATAGCCACGGTTCTTTAGTGTGCGACGTTTCTGCTTCAGGCGCACCACCTCGTCCTTGCTGACGCCACGCAGATGTCGGTTGAGCTCGCGAACCGACAGGCTCACCAGCTGCTCGTCAGAGAAGCGGTCGTTTGCCCCACACTGTTGAACACAAGGTGGAATCACACACAGAAAATATACTGGGCCATAACATAGCATATATTCAAGGAGTGTGAACTGGAGTCAAACTTAAATACATCTTATGACTGGTGCACATGTGATATGTCATATTGTATGTGTGTGTGTGTGTGTGTGTCAGGGGGCACATTTCAGCACCACATGTCCATAATCTGTCATGTAATCTGACTAAGTGTGGGTGACAGTTATCAGGATTACACACAGCAATAATAGCAGATATTATCATAAGCTCACACTGTGCTCCACATAGTGATTCACCCAGACATCTTGATCGACCAGAACACAGATTACTGCATTTCTTTACCTGCTAATGTACATCCATAAGATACCATTCAACACTGAGCTTTATAAACAGTTTTTTTTGTGTGTAAAAGCTGATCCCAAAATGTCTTTGGAAGAATTTTGAATTCTATTCATCAGGTATAAGCAGTATCACCACTAAAGAAACCCTATAATAGTTGTAAGCACATGTACGTGTTAACTAATGTATCAGTCATATGATAATGACTGAAAATGTAGTAAGAGACCATTACAATATAATAGACTATGTTTTCATAGGATCATTTCTGACTGCTGATAAATACTGTACAATGACAGACACTCAAATGTCTTCATATCTGTATTAAGCTGCATTTTAGTGTGTTATAAATCATGTATTAAGTGTTTATAAACTGCTTATGAATGCTAAATTCTCAACGCATATCTAAAAAATGGCATTATTGTGATTTTGTGTCTTCAGAGACTTCACTTCCCTAATAGTTGGCCTGTAGAGAGCAGGCCTTCAAGTGATGCCTCAGATAGATGCAGACATTAATAACCATGTTCTAATGTCCTAATCCTAATCCTTCACTGCACGATCCCTCGCTCCCTCCGCTCATCCCTCTCACACAGGTGCCTCTGTTTCCTCACTCTGCTTCCTGCCCCTCCTACAACGTCTCCCTGGTTTACTGATGAACTCTTCCTTTCGAGCATCATTATCATGACGATCATCTGGATAGATACAAGCACAAGTGTTTCCCCCCTTTACCTGATTAACTATTTGGTGGTGGTGATGGTGATGGCTGCCATGCATTGGGTGATGCGGGTGGTGCTGATGATGGTGATGCTGGTGGTGATGAAGGCGACCCTGGGGGCTGAGAGGCTGCGGGTAGGGAGCTGAGGCTTGGGTGGCGTTTGGGAGCGAGGCAGGGGCCGACGAGAGGAAGACGAGCGGGCGATGGCACATGTCTGTCCCCTTGGTGCAGGAGATGTCGCCACCGCTGTCGCTGCTTGAGTCGCCAAGGTTGCTGCTGGAACTCTGAGAGAGACCTGGAAACTGAAGGGGAGGAGGGGGCACAGGAGATGATGAAGAGGCAGCAGGAGGGAGAAGAAAGAAGCCAACCTTTTCATGGCTACATAACATATCACAGATTTAACCTAGAGCATGTTACCTGTGAGCTGACTGCTGCAGCAGCTGAGTTCAGCAGGGCCTCAACAGCATCCTCACAGCCCAGGAAGCCATTTACCGGCCCCCGTTCTCTGTCCCCTCTCTCTGGTACTCCTCCCAATGCTCCCAGCAGAGTGGCAGGCCCTGTCACCTCTCCCCCAAACTGTTGCTGCAGTGCTGCCAGCCAGATCAGGTCCTCCAGCGAGGCCGGAGTGGGACCCTGCGGGCCGCTGTGGGCCGGGCTCCCCTCCACATTCCCCTGAGAGCCAGAGCTGATGCCAGAGTTGAAGCTGTTCGAGATGGAGAAGGGGAACGAGATGGAGGAGGATGACGATGAGAGGGAGGAAGAGCCTGAGGGAGGCGGGTGGGCGTCGCTGAGCGTCGGCGAGGGCGGCAGCGAGTTGTACGGGCTGGAGCTCAAACTGGAGTCCTGTGGAGGATGACTGGTGTACGGTGAGCTGGAGGGGTCGTAGGCCAGGCCAGATTTGGGATATGGACAAGGAGGAGCGAGTGGAGGAGTGTCAGATTTCACCTCAAACTTGAGGAGGTCAAAGTCATTCAGGTACTCCATGGCCAGCGGGCTGGGGGGGAGAGAGGGCATGGGGAGGGGAGGAGAGGACATGATGTCAGCCGCTGCTGCTGCTGGTGGAGCTTCAACAGGGTTTTTCCGTGTGTCAGGATTGTTGGAAAGCCCACTCCTCTGCCTCAGTGCAGCTCATAGACAGCAGCAGTGGAGATGTCAGGAGGTAGACTGGTGGATGAGGTTCCTCTGTGAGAAACTGTACGTCCCCGTGTCCTCGTCTCTGTGTCTCTTGTCCTGAAGGAAAGGAGGAAGCAGAAGGAAAGGGATGAGAGAAAAGGAATGGTGTTACACAATGTTTAGAAGACTTTTGTATAAGGCATTTACTTTGCCATTTATTTATTGATACTGAAAAAAGTGCTTCACTGAGTCAGAATAACATTGTGGATGGACAGTAAGTATTAAAATAGATGCAGCAGAACCAGAGGAATATTTCCACATATTCCTCCTTCGAGTCCAAATCATGTGCTCCAGAGTACGGCTGAGCCGCAGAAATGATAGAAAAGACATGAACAAATGTGTGTTAAGTGAGCTACAGAGGTTCAGCTTAATCATTCAATAATGCTTTATAGATCAGTGATAAGCCTTTAATAACAGGAGCCTTTTGGTTGCCAGGTTGTGGAATATCCTCCATAGTGACATTCGTTTTTTCCTGTTCGCTACTTCTGTTCAACCAACAAAATAAATTTACATACATGCAAACATCCATAAGGCCCAATAGTCAACTTATATTAAGTCAAGGTCCAGGTATGATTCCCTGAGACATTGGTGAAAATGGAAAAAAACCCAATAACGCCTCTATCTCACAATGTTCAAGAAAGTAACAAAAGAGGGAGATCAAAAGTTCCTGCAACAAAACTGAATAGATTCTTTTCTGAGCCATACCATATCCTTTGTGGTAATCCATAGAGTAGTTTTTATGTGATGCTGCTATCTAGCAGACAGATAAATGCTGATGAAAACATAACCTCATTGGCAGAGGTAACAAATTATTGATGTTAACTCAAGTTAATGTATTTCCTGAGAAATTAAAGAGTTAGTCAAAAGGACAAAGCTAATTTTCTTGGGTTTACCAAAATGTAAGGGAAGGATTTTGACAGTTGTCAAACTTGTTGTCATCCTCTTCTTAGAAACATTAGTAAATTATTTATTAACCATCAGTAAAATGATCAATAACAGCTTATAAAGTGTCTTTGGAGGGTATGGAAACTCTGCAGTGTGCTGTTTTAGGAAATTACAGTTTTAAACAATATTTAACCATAAAAGCTATGACAACTTGACTTGGTTCAACTTGAAATCAGACTGTGAGAATGTGTGTGGCAGCTATGATTGTGTTATACTAAGACACTAATCTGCCCCCGCCCCCATCATCTCATACACATGTATAAGAAACACGTGCACATTCATCTACACGTGCACATGCAAACATTGTGTGGTGTGCAACATCTTGGTTCAGACAAACCTTTAAACTATGCTTGATACTGATATTTGTGGCTTTCTATGTTCAACAAGTTGTGTTAGTCAACAATTGATAATTTATTTATCCACATATTAAAAATGCCTTCAATGCCCACACACACACACACACACACACACA